TCATGGTTAAATCCTGTAATTGAACAAATGGGGAAATTGGGTAACGCCCTCTAGCAATTTGGCAACACCCCCAGCCACTGGCATCAGCTGGGCTTTTGACTGGGACACACCACCCACCTGAGTCTGATCTGGAGTGCTTCATCTGTAGGTGTGAAGTTTATCTAAATGTTTAGTGATCATATGAACCAGAGTAGCAACAGTACCACCCCCTTGCTTATAGGCAAATTGGTATGGATCAAGTATGTCTTGTCCGTCACAATAGGTTTAGCTGAAGAGGTCATTCCTGTCATGGTTCTCATGGTGTCCCACACTTTTTTGGGGTCTTTGGCTTTAAAAGCATTTCCCAAAAGCTCTCTGTGTGCCAGTTTTGATTCCCTCAATTTGACTTTCAGTTCTTTCTCTGTCTAAGTGCTCCCATAGCCATTTTCCTAACTTTTTTTAATGTCCTTAGTCACATATGATTCATTACTTGGATAGATTTGTATTTCTTTAGTGGGAACACAGAAGTTAATATAGTCTTTAGGGATGCTCCGATCGATCGGTCACCGATCGATCGGTGCTCTCTAAACATGCTGATCGTGAGAGCCGATCGCATGACGTAAAATACATGACACTTTTCTCTGTGTGTGGCAAAACAAGCTCGCCAGAATGGCTTCACCGGTCTGGCATTATTTTAAGGTGTCCGAAAAAGACAGTAAAATAGCGGTATGCAACGTGAAGCAGAAATCCTGCAGCTCCACCCGCTGTGATGGACCGGTGAGCGGAGCAACACACACACTAAGAGTTAGACCTAACACACTTAGCTATTTGATCTACCTCTGGAACTAGTTATACATATATTTATTCTTCACTGTCGGATCACTCATTACTGGATCAGTGAGCTGCATGAGATACTGACAGGCTGTCAGGAGAGGGAGAGAGGAAAAGAGAGCGCTTCCGCTCATTTCTCCCATGTTATTATTAGGGTTGCAAAATTCCGGGAATTTTCAAAGATGGAAACTTTCCATGGGAATTTATGGGAATAAACTGGGAATTTGAAGAAAAAATTGAAGGTTTGCTCTTCGTAGGGAACTTAAATATAGTTGGGGAAAGTATATTTTAGCATAATCTTGACTAAAACAAACAGATGCCGTTCAAGTACACTTTAAACCCCAAGCCTGTTTTTCAGGTTTCAGGCTCGAAAATGACATGCCCAAAACAAAGGACTATAACTTAACTTCTAAAAGGGTTATATGAATAATTTCTTTTATCAAAGCAAGGTCACATCTGTGAGTTGGATGTAGAAGTGTCAGAATCAATAAAGATGTTTCAGTGTCAGAGTAAATCCAGATGGAACATAGTCAAAAAGTGTACATTTTTGTCTCCGCCCAAATAAAACCCATTACTTATAGTGAAAACCACCCTTGAATGATGGGTTAGTAGCCTAAAAGCTTTAGGAATCCAAAGTATAACATATAATAAGTACCCTGTATCAAGATTGAGGCAAAACAAGTGAGAATTGACCTTTTTAGAAAGATTTAGCAAAAAAAAAGTCCAAGCGGACTAAGCTTTGGGCACATTTGGTTCCATCAGTGCCATTTAACCTTTTTCAGGTACCAGACTGTAAAAATCATTGTATAACATTTAATTATCACTATAGGTATTCATTCCATAAAAAAAATAAAATAATTATTGTTAAAAAAATAATAATTGTGTATATATATATATATATATATATATATATATACATATACATATATATATATATATATGTATATATATATATTATATATACTGTATATCTATGTCTATATCTGTCTATCTAGATATGTATATATCTGTCTGTATATCAGTAGATCTCTGTCTGTCTCTGTCTCTATCTGTCTCTGTCTCTGTCTGTCTCTCTGTCTCTGTCTGTCTCTCTCTCTCTGTCTGTCTCTCTGTCTCTCTCTGTCTGTCTCTCTGTCTGTCTCTTGTCTGTCTCTCTGTCTCTCTGTCTCTCTGTCTGTCTCTCTCTCTGTCTGTCTCTCCTCTGTCTGTCTCTCTGTCTCTCTGTCTCTCTGTCTGTCTCTCTCTCTGTCCTCTCTCTGTCTGTCTCTCTCTCTGTCTGTCTCTCTGTCCTCTCTCTGTCTGTCTCTCTCTCTGTCTGTCTCTCTGTCTCCTCTCTGTCTCTCTCTCTGTCTGTCTCTCTCTGTCTCTCTCTCTGTCTGTCTCTCTGTCTCTCTCTGTCTGTCTGTCTCTGTCTGTCTGTCTCTCTGTCTCTCTCTGTCCTGTGTCTCTCTCTGTCTGTCTCTCTCTGTCTCTCTGTCCTCTGTCTCTCTCTGTCTGTCCTCTCTGTCTCTCTCTCATTGTCTGTCTCTCTGTATCCTGTACTGTCCTTCTCTCTTGTCTCTTGTCTCTCTGTATCTCTGTCGTTCTCTCTCTCTTGTCTGTGTATCTCTCTACATCTCTCTCTGTGTCTTGTCTAGTCTCTCCTGTCTCATCTCTCTCTCTGTCTCTCTCTCTCTCTGTCCTGTCTATATGGCTGTCAGCATCAGCTTGTAGATGGTATTTTAAACTCGATGCGCTCTGAAACTACGTGGCGGCCGAGGAAAAAAATACACATGGGTTAATCGCGTTAAAATAATTAGTGGCGTTAATTTTTTTTTTGCGTTAACGCGTTATTAACTTGACAGCCCTAATATATATGTATGTGTGTATATTTGTATGTGTGTATATATGTATGTATGTATGTATGTATAGTCATGAACACATCATTAATGGACGTCTCTTTAAAATGACCGCTCAGAGGAGAGGAGTTCTCATTTCTCTAACCGTCTGCTTTCTCTCCTCGGTTCCCCTCCTCAGTCCTCCGCTTGCATCTCCTGTGGGCGGGACTAAGTATCGAGGATAGGAGTCGAGGAGGTGAAATTTGAGTACTGAGAAACCTCTATTGATTCCTTTATCATTAACAAAGCATTTGTCCAGGATATTGTCTTTCCTGCTGTGATCCCTAACATACTGCTGGAACCCAGGTAACACAGTCTCCAGGCGACATTGCTTCATGTCCCAGAGCACTATTGCCGGTGCATCGGTGGCTGAGTTGTAGCTCGTGAACACAGTGTCCTCTGCCGCTGGGAGGCACGTAAACGACAAACAGTAAAATACACCAGAATTCTCTAGGCAGATAAAAGGGTCCTAACGTCATGCCGAGAATTTCTACGTTGGGATCACAGGTTTGACATTTGACTGAGTATGATCGGCACCACAGATAATTAATATACACACAAATACCGCCTCCTCTGGTTTTCCCAGAGTTCGCATCACTGTCTGCTCGAACAAGGGTGAGTCCGGGTACTTCAAAGAGATTCAGGCTTTGTAGATTGTAGCCAACTTTCCGTGAAACATAATAAAGAGGCCTCAAGAAATTCATGACAGTACCTTGTGTATGTCCTTAGTGTGTCCACGTTGTTGCTCAATGAGCGCAGGTTTGTGAGAATGATGGATGGAAGTGGTGGCCGGCTGAATCTCCGCCGTAGTGGATTCTGAACACCTCCCCTCCTTCCTCGTCTCTTTTTCCTGGTGTTTCTAAGCGGCTCCCGAGGGATTTCATCCAATATTGAAGAGCACAGGTGGCTTGGTGTATTCGTAGGAAGCCGATCGCATTGTAGCTCTAGCATAGCCTCGCGGCTGTAGCAGCGTAGAGGCCGGGGCTCCTCGCCATACCTGTTTGTGCTGTCACTCAGGTGTGTCTTGGAAAGTTGAATGGCCAGACATGGTCTGCAGAAGACAAATGTAATCCACAGGATCAAAAGCATGATCTCTCAAAATAACGTTTCATACAGACAAAACAAAGTTTAGACGATAATTAGACCAACAATAACTAAAACAAGACGAACGGAGCATACTGAGACTCGCAGTGACAGGATGCCGTCTCCCTCTGTCTCCTGTATACCAGGGGTGGGAGTAAGTCATACATGTGCAAGTCTCAAGTTACTGGGGTGAGAGTCAAGCAAGTCAAGTCCTATGAAATCCTGATGAATAACCCCAGTTTCCACATTTAAATCAGTTAAAAGACAGTGGTTATGAAAACTAGAGTTTTATTTTCAACATTAACAACAATGGAGAGTGGGGCTCTGAAATCATAAAACGGGGAATAATTGAGCAGTTCAGTGTGTGTGTGTGTGTGTGTGTGTGTATAGAGGTGCGTGTGGTTAAAACGTAGCAGCCTGCGGTCGCTCGTTAGCTGTTCTAATGAAGGTAAACACAGTGAAGGCACAGCTCTTTGCAGCTGGTGCTGCTCTTCTGAAATTCTGCTGAGTTACACGTTACTGCCTCCTGGTGCTGCAGAGATTTCATGAAGTGAAGGAGGTTTTCCTTCTATAAAACAGCTGTGGGCAGCAGATACTGAGTCACAGACATGAATACATAGGTCAAGGCAGACTGGTTCACAGACTCTAATGTTTTGCCGATCCGGTGCTTGAACAAATAACTCTACACCCCTGGCCGAAATGTCCCTAAAATGAAGTCCGAGTTTGAAATATATCTCAAATAATGTATGTATTTGCCCACATAAACATAACAGTCTGCAATGAAACGGCTGTCTCCTGTGCGCTCCACTTCCTACTTTCTCCTGCGAACGAGATACTTTCACTCTCTTTTTTTTTTCATTGCCCTCTAGGTGCTTAGTACAATGCAAATATTTTATTTTAAAAAGTAAAGTCCTTTCGAGTCATCTGTCTCAAGCCTAAGTCAAGTCATGAATTCAAAGTCAAGTCGAGTCTTTTATCAATGTTAGTCAAGCAAGTCTCAAGTCAAAAAATATGCGAGTCAAGTCATGTGACTCGAGTCCCCCACCTCTGGTATATACTTTGGTTAGAATATTGCTGTATTACTGTATCAAATATAATACAAATATAATAAACACAAACAGTTGATAAGTAGTATTTTGTTAACTCAAGGTTTATATTAAGTGAGTTGTTATTGTGTTAACTTGTGTATTTATGCTTTTTAGATTGACTTTCTCTCTTTCTCTGTTCTAGAAACCAAAAGGAAGAGAGAGATGTCACAGCTGTCAGCAATGTGACAAATCCTTTACAACATCTGGAAATTTAAAGAGCCACCTGCTTATTCACACAGGAGAAAAACCGTATAGCTGTGAAGAGTGTGGGAAAACTTTCACTACATCAGGTGCTCTCAAAACACATCAACGTATTCATACTGGAGAAAAACCATACAGCTGTGAAGAGTGTGGGTCAACTTTCACTAAATCAGATGCTCTCAAAACACATCACCGTATTCATACTGGAGAAAAACCTTACAGCTGTGAAGAGTGTGGGACAACTTTCACTAGATCAGATGCTCTCAAATCACATCAACGTATTCATACTGGAGAAAAACCATACAGCTGTGAAGAGTGTGGGACAACTTTCACTAGATCAGATGCTCTCACATCACATCAATGTATTCATACTGGTGAAAAACCGTACAGCTGTGAAGAGTGTGGGAAAACGTTCACTCAATCAGGTAATCTCAAAAGACATCACCGTATTCACACTGGAGAAAAACCGTACTGGTGTGAAGAGTGTGGGAAAACGTTCACGAGATCAAGTCATCTCAAAAAACATCACCTTATTCACACTGGAGAAAAACCTTACAGCTGTGAAGAGTGTGGGAAAACGTTCACTACATCAGATGCTCTCGCATCACATCACCGTATTCATACTGGAGAAAAACCGTACTGGTGTGAAGAGTGTGGGACAACTTTCACTCAATCAGGTGGTCTCATAACACATCAACGTATTCATACTGGTGAAAAACCGTACAGCTGTGAAGAGTGTGGGAAAACATTCACTACATCAAGTGCTCTCAAAAAACATCACCGTATTCACACTGGAGAAAAACCGTACTGGTGTGAAGAGTGTGGGAAAACTTTCACTCAATCAGGTGCTCTCAAATCACATCTTCGTGTTCACACACTCTTAAAACCGTACTGGTGTGAAGAGTGTGGGAAAACTTTCACTCAATCAGGTGCTCTCAAATCACATCTTCCTGTTCACACACTCTTAAAACCATAGTGGTGTTAAGAGTGTGGGAAAACTTTTTCTTAAAGTATTCACCTTAAAGTCCATGAGCGAGTTTCACTGTTCATTAATCTGCCGAGTAGTTTCTCCAATAATCTGTTTGTTTAATAAAATGTTGTGACTTTAAACTTTGATTGGGATGTTTTTGATAGTTCCTGTTGAGTTAGCAGTCTGTTCTGGTCTAAAAGAACCAATGATTCATGTATCTAGAACACATTTACGATGTTTTCACGTTGATCCTATTCTCTTGTTGAAATGATCAGACTACCAAAAAATAAAATGGCCTTAGAAATAGACTCACAACCCTGCATATCTGTTGTGTTTGGCAGCATATTATAAACATGTCATTCCCTTATTTTCAAATACCACAGGTTGTGTAGTGATGTATTTGAGATGTACTGTCCACATCGCAGACCTGAAGTCGTGCAGTCAATGTATGCGAAGTGTTCAGGACCTTGGTCTCTGACTTTGCATACCTGAGATCCTGCAGTCATTTCCCAAAGATAGTGTGGCATATAGGGAGGTGCAATCTCCTGATGAGACTGTATTATAGTGGAAATCTGCAACCCTAGAAAACAAGATAACATTAGTTAATAATGTTATGGAGTTTCAAAGGAAAAGGGCAGCTGCTCGAAGGACAATCAAATGCACAAAAAAGAGAACATGGAGAGAATTGTGTTCAGAGGAGTAACATTAGGTGATGTCTGGTCCATGTTTAAGCAGATGAGTGGGAAAAGGAAATCCATTAAAATTCCAGGTTGATGTACATAGTGGGCAGCATCTCAGTGATATTCATAGGCAACAAAAACAGCAGTTGCTAGCAGAGAATGAAAACGTGAAGGAGAAGACAGGATAATAGGTCAGCTCTGGATGTGGAATTAGTAAGAGTGAGTAATGATGTGGAAAATGAGAGATAATAGCAATAGTTGACATTGAAAAGGTGTATGACTCTGTGTGGAGGGATGGATTACTGATCAAATTGAGTAGAATGTGTATGGGAGGGAGAATGTTCAATTGGGTAAGGGCCTTTTTAACAGACAGGACATTTAGAGGAAAGGTTGGAGCAGATATTTCCAATTATTTTGAAATAGAAAATGGTATTCCCAAGGGAGTGCAGTCAGTCCAATATTATTTAACATCATGATTAATGACATATTGACATGCTTAGACACATGCATCCAATGGGCTCTATACGCAGATGATGGGGCTATTTGGATGAGGGGAAGACATGCCCCATACGTAATGGAGAATATAGCTAGAGCGATTAAAAAAAGTGGAGAGGTGGTCATATAACTGGGGATTCAAAATGTCAGAAAGCAAGTCATGCTACTTATGGTATTTACAAATAAACTCAAGATTGATGGCCAACAGCTAACACTATATGATCGTCCAATGACAAAGGTGAATGAGTTCAAATACTTAGGACTGTGGTTTGATAGCAATTACACATGGAAAATACACATTAAACAAGTGGGAACAAAATGCTAAAAATTATTAAATGTATTGTGAGCTGTAGCTGGATGCAACTGGGGCGCAGACAAACAAGCATTAATAGACATTTACAGATCAATGATGAGGTCCACAATAGACTAAGGTTGTATAGCGTATGGAGCAGCAGTAAAAACATAACTTAAAAATGGATAAACTACAATATAAAGCATTGCGGCTGTGTATTGGAGCGATAAAGTCATCCCCTGTCAATGCAGTTCTGATAGAAGCAGGAGAGACGCCTCTGGAGATCAGAAGAGAGAGACTTGCTCTGTCATACTGGGTCAGGCTAAAAGGAAGTGGAGAGGAAAATATCACAAACAGAATATTACAGGATTGCTGGGAATATACAAAGTTCCAGGGGCGTGGGTTTGCCTGGACGAGTGAGGAGAGAACGAGGGCATGTGGAGTGGAGACCATCACGCTTGCCAAAGCAACCCCATTTAGCCGTGTTCCTCCATGGCTGTTCCCAGAAGCTAACATAGATGTGAGTATCATAGAAAGGAAAAAAGAGAGGCAAATAAATGAAGTGGGAATTAAAACGAGTACCTGAACGAAAAGTACTACAATTACCTCAAAATGTACACAGATGGTTCTAAGAACAAGGAAGAGTGTGTTGGAGTTGGTATATACATCCCAGACTTTAAAATATCGATCTCAAAAAGAGTGTCTGATCAATTATCAGTGTACACAGCAGAAATGCTGCTGTAATAATAGGATTGCAGTGGGTAGAAGAGGTCAGACCAGATAGGGTGGTGATATGCACAGATTCATTGTCCATATTAAAAAGCATAAAATCAACAACTACTAGAGAAGACATTCTCATAGAACTTAATCATAGCCTGTCCAGACTTCACAGAGGTGGTATAGATCTGCAGTTCTGCTGGGTGCCTGCATGAGGGGGGGAAAGGGAACGAGTGCACATGAGGGGGGGAAAGGGAACGAGTGTGCATGAGGGGGTGAAAGGGAACGAGTGCGCATGAGGGGGTGAAAGGGAACGAGTGTGCTGATAAATGAGCAAAAAGTGCACTACAAAAGGAAATAACTTTACCAGTTCAACTTGGAGAAGGAGAAGGAAAAGCAGTAATTAAGAAGAAAGGGATGGAGATCTGGCAGAAGAGGTGGGAGAAAGACCAGAAAGGCAAAGAGTGTCACAAAGTACAAAAGACAATTACAAATAATATTTATAAAGAAAGAAACAGAAGGGAGGAAATCACGATAGCTAGACTCAGACTGGATCACACAGCATTGAATGGTAGCTGTATGTCATGGGGAAAAGTGACAGTGACAAGTGTAGGAACTGTGGAGTTAAAGAACATGTGGAACATTTCTTGTTACATTGTGACATCTATAAAGCGGAAAGAGAAAAACTAAAGGATGAAGTTTTAGAGGCGGAGAGGGAGAGGGGTTGGTATTCTGGGAACAGAAGGAGTGAGAGCTACCAGAAAGGCACTGGTTACCTTTCTGAGGGAAACTGGGGTAGGAACAATAATTTAACATTAGGTCAGGAAAGATCATAGATTTTTGTTTTATTTATTTTATGTTTTTTGTTGATTGATTGATTTATTTTTTGTTTAGATCATAGATGGATACGTCCATGAGTTAAGAGATGGAATGATATGATGATTCAGTCCAGGGTTGCCAACTCTCACGCATCGGGCGTGTGGCACACGCTTTCACTCTCAATCGCTCTCACGCTGCCCAAACTATTCTCACGCCAAAAACAAGATGAACCGGCGATCGTTTTTGGTTGTTTATTTACAATGTTGAGTTGACAGCTGCTCCAGCTGTCGACCCGCTCCCTCCCCCCCCCCACCACTCTTAACAACGTTAACAGACAGCTGAGCTGTGGGAGCCGGTATTGCGCATGCGCAGATCTAAGATCCAGTAGAAATGATAACAAAGTAAAAGTCTGCTGCTTATTGTTCTACTCGGCCAACATAGAGTCAAAGAGTATATGAGAGTTGTAGTATCAGGCATAATAGGAGAGTGTGTTAATTAATATATTTGGCAGTTCGGAGTAAGTCTGTAGATTTGTTTGTGTGTGTGTTTCATGTATGGGATCCCCCAGTCAGAGCTGGTTGATGTGGCCAGGGAACGTTTGGGGCTCTCTGCTGGAACTGCTACCCCTGCGACCCGACCACGGATAAGCGGGAGAAGATGGATGGATGGATGGACATAATGATAATATATAATAATAATTCAAGTACATTAAACTTTGTGCCTTTTATAGTCTGTGTCCAATATTGTATATATCCTATATATGCTAAGGTCCCGCTACTGACACGATAGCAGTCATTAAGTGCGCATATGTGTAATTAAACCCATGATATCAAAATCTCACTCCAGCCAGGTACCCAAAGTTGGCAACCCTGTCCTAATGTTCATACATTTGTAACACTGTACACCAAAACAATATCACTCCAAGCTGAACCCAAAGGTTGGCAACCAGGGGCTGAAAAAAAGTATTGATTACATCAATGCAAATGTGAATCAAACTCATTTTTGACCAAAAACATAAAGCCAACACAGGTGATATGATTAGGCCAATGGCCAGCACCCATTACATTTTTGACCTACCCATTGGCTAAATTACTTTGCGACACTTGAGTGACTTCCTGTTAGCTAGAGCGTCAAATTATTAGCTAACGTGGATGTTGAACAAAGTGAAAAATGGATCGTTTTTAGTCCTAAAACGTCCATGTGTAAGCGAGAGGGATTCTGAATCTGCACATAATAGGCATCGTGAGGCAGAGGCTGAAGGTGTCACGGTCACCGACAAGGAGGAGGACCAAGAAAAGCCGTGGGAGGATGGAGATGAGGAGGAAGGAGCTGAAATGCCCGGCTGCACCTGCTGAGGAGGAGGAGGAGGAGGAGGAGGAGGAGGAGGAGGAGGAGGAGGAGGAGGAGGAGAAGAAGAAGAAGAAGAAGAAGAAGAAGAAGAAGAAGAAGAAGAAGAAGAAGAAGAAGAAGAAGAAGAAGAAGAAGAAGAAACAATCCCCAAGAGGGCTCAAGACGGCCAATTCTTCAAAAATACCCCACAAGTTTGCCATGGAAAGATGGAGTGAGTTTAAACAAAAACAGACAAGTGGCTCAAAAATAGCAAACATGATTGACAAGGGACATTCAGCTTTGGTTATGGAGAACCGAAAGTACATGCAGGCCGTGGTTGAAAGCCTTCGCTATTCCGCTTGTCAGGGAATCGCACAGCGAGGGGGACTCCTCTAGGGGTAATTTTATCGAGCTTTTGCACCTCATCAAAATGTTTGATGTTACAGTGGATAAAAAATTGCCAAGCAATCCATCAAATGCCAAATACACTCACCATGACATACAGAACAAATTATTTGATATAATGGCTGATATGATACGAAAATAAATAAGTGATGAGGTGGGGGAGGCAAAGTACTTTGCTGTTTTGGTGGATGAAAGTAAAGACATTAGTAAGAAGGAACAGATTTCAGTGATCGTGCGGTATTTACAGCCACTGTAAAGGAGATGACCTGGGGCCTCAGACGTTGCATGAGGAATTCTTGCATTTCACCCCAGCAGATGGGTTAGACGCAGACTCACTACTAAACAGCATAAAGCTTACACTCAGTCAGTGTAATATAGACATTAATGGTTGTGTTGGCTATGA